AATCGACTGTTCAAATGTGGAGTTTTGCACAGCGCAGAGTAACGCGTCGTGTATGTGAGGGGAACAGGGTCACATCACAGGAGAGTGAACTGCCTGTCAGAAATCATAACACGTCAGCTGTCTTAACCGCGGCTTGTGTACTGCATCATCACTGTGTCTGTCACGCGACTCTGTTGCCCTTTCGGGCTTGAAGTGATGGTAAAAGTAACAACATTATTAAATGTCTTGATATTTACTTTGAATATTTTACGCCTTTCAGAAAGGCGGGGCATAGAGGAGAAACAATAATGTACAGTATGTGGAAAATATTGTGTTTTTTGAACCTGAAACCGCATAAATGCATTTCATTACACCAAATAATGTTCTTTGGAGCAAATTCAAATCAAGATGACAGGGTGGACCAGCACATGACAGGGTGGATACATAAAGCAGAACACACAAAGCATGACAAAAAATGACAATGAAACATTTAACTTAAAAAAAAAATCATAAAATTACATTTCCCCCCCCCCCTTAATTTTAGTTTGGTTAAAGCAGAACTATGTAACTTTTTCTGTGTTCAAAATGTGCTAAGTCAGAAATCATAACACGTCAGCTGTCTTAACCGCGGCTTGTGTACTGCATCATCACTGTGTCTGTCACGCGACTCTGTTGCCCTTTCGGGCTTGAAGTGATGGTAAAAGTAACAACATTATTAAATGTCTTGATATTTACTTTGAATATTTTACGCCTTTCAGAAAGGCGGGGCATAGAGGAGAAACAATAATGTACAGTATGTGGAAAATATTGTGTTTTTTGAACCTGAAACCGCATAAATGCATTTCATTACACCAAATAATGTTCTTTGGAGCAAATTAAAATCAAGATGACAGGGTGGACCAGCACATGACAGGGTGGATACATAAAGCAGAACACACAAAGCATGACAAAAAAATGACAATGAAACATTTAACTTAAAAGAAAAAATCATAAAATTACATTCTCCCCCCCTCCCTTAATTTCAGTTTAGTTAAAGCAGAACTATGTAACTTTTTCTGTGTTCAAAATGTGCTAAATGTATATAATGAGCGAGTACATCATGAATTCATCTTCCAAACTGCGTTTTTATCTTTTTCCGAATCACTACGGTACACTTCTAAGAAGTACTTACATTTGGACTATCGTAGCCTGGTCGGGTCGTCACCGCTGCGGAGACACAAAATTTCTCAAGAGCAATTTTTGAAGGGGACACAAATAATACAGCTATAATAGTACTTGTAAGGATATTTATATACAGAGGAAAGCCTTACTACTATTAGTGTAGCAGGGAGACCGTGCCAAATTAGACAACTTGCAAAAGCGCTCGTGTCCGTTCAAGACATTGCTATTCTTCACAGTGTTGCCAAGTCTGCGGTTTTCACGTGGAATTGGGCTACTTTATCACTGTTGCCGCGGGTTGAAGTGACCCCAATAACGTGTATTTTAGTCCATGGAGCGTTATTTTTACCGGGGGACCCCCTCGAAACGTGGTTAGTTTGGGCTAGTTTTGAGTAGCAAGTGGGCGGGTTTTTTTGCGAAAAGCTGGCAACCCTTTCCGTCAAGCAGGTGACGTTATTGCTGCTAACAGCGGATTCATGGAAAAATGCATCATAAAGAGAAAAGAATCACTTCAGCCGATGTTTAAGTGAATAAAATAGACAGCCTTACTTACTGGAGTTCCACAAGATTGACTTTGTTCTCTCTCACCAGACTTGTGTGCAGGTGATGTAAAAGAGGAAAGCAGGCATTTGGACCAAAGCACTGCGAGGCAAGGGAGGGGTAGACTCAAAATGTTTCTAAACCTAAAACACATTTTTGCCCCTTTTATGTTGTTTTACTACTTACACAATTATTTCAAGTATAAAACATTGTTATTAACATTGTGGGATTTCCACCTATGGCTGTGTCCACCCTGTCATGTCTAAGTGGCCGACAGGGTGGACATTGAGCTTCAATTGGCATATTAGCTTACAACAAAGCGTGATTAGCTAAATAGTTTAATCTGGTTGTTGAAGAGAATTTGGTATATTTAAACGTAGATATTTTGAAAATACTGTATTCTAATCACTTCTGGCATATTTTATGGCGACAGGGTGGACGTGTTAAGCTTTGGCAAATCAAGTAAGCAAAGTCATAGGAAGAAAATTTGTCAATTGAAAAGTTACCAACTTACTCACCTCTGCTGCTGAAATTCCCGCCACTGAAGAGACCAAAAATCTGTCGTCTTGATGTCACTAAAGTGGATGGCCTTTTCTTAAAGGGGCGGATTCCCCAATACGACAGGGTGGACAACCATTCAAGGGACATAGACAAACTCTTCTTTTTGTAATAAATACAAATATTGTTTTTATTACCAAATGATCAATACAGTCAAATTGAGTTGAACATAAATGTAGCAAAATATGAATAGAGAACAAATTTTTTTTTCATTTTACGATGTGACTATATCAGGGTTGTCCAATCCTGCTCCTGGAGGGCCACTGTCCTGCAGAGTTTAGCTCAAACACCAGTAAAACGCACCTTAACCAGCAAATCAAGGTCTTACTAGGCATACTACAAAGACCCAGGCAGGTGTGTTGAGGCAAGTTGGAGCTAAAGTCTGTAGGACACTGGCCCTCCAGCAAATATAGCAAAATAACAAGCATCCTCTTATAAAAATAAAAAAAAATGTAGAAATTGTATCTAAAGAGCCAAATAATGCTTTTGTTATGAATCTAAAAACGTAGCCTAATATAACACACCCTTACATAGTCATTTTTATGTGAAGTTATGGCAAATGAGTTATGTACAGGACACCAAAAGGCACCCTACAGTGATATTGACCCAGAAAACATTGTAAAATCATCAGCATGCATAACTATATTTGCCTTATCAACAACATATGGTAAATCATTTATAAAGATAGGGAACAGTAATGGACCTAAACAACTCCCTTGTGGAACACTACAATAGGTATTTGTAGCCTCTGAGAAAGAACCATTATAAAACACTGTCTGTGTTCCATTAGAAAGAGAACTTCCAATCCAATCAAGAGCTGTGAGTGGAAAAACCATGACATGTTAGTTTAGCAATAAGAATATCATGGTCAATAACATGAAAAGCTACTGTATAGTCTAGTAAAACAGGACCCACCAATTTCTTATCATCTAGACATGCTAACCATTCATCTGTCATGTGTATGAGCGGTACTCGTGGAGTGTCCTGGTCTGTAAGCATGTTGTGCATTAGTAAGTAATCCTTTAATTCTAAAAGATTGTAAAAGTTGCTTAAAAATAATCTTCTCCAAGAGCTTGCTCAGAATAGGAAGTATACTAATTGGCCTACAGTTAGGACCTGAAAAGTCAGTTTTTCTCTCTTTTTTTTTTTTTTTGAAGTTATGGTATAATGGTAGATTTTTTCCAAAGATTCGGATATACACCACTAAGCAAACATCTATTAAATACATGTCAAATTGGTTGAGAGAGCCGATTAGCTACTATTGTCAGAAATGTACCATCCCAAAAAATCAACTCCACAAGATTTGTCATCTGGAACCGAAAGCAACATCTGTTCTACTGTATTTTGATCAATGGGACTAAAACGAAAACAACACATTTTATCTTTCATCATGTTAACAATAGGATTACACAGTATTTGTAAATCGTTGCTATACATGCTAGATCGTAAATCATTCACCCTAATTAATGAAAAAAGTGTTCAAATAATTAGCTATATCTAAGGGTTTAATGATAAACTGTCCCTCGTGTTCCACACACCCTTTCCTATACATTCTTTCATTGTGTTTTCCACATCGTCTTACTATCCCAGCTGCACATCTTATTTGTTGCTTATAATATTCCCTCTGTTTTGATATGATTTAATTTTGTAATCGTGTTCTGTCAGAGGAACTTGGGTGACATTTGGTAAAGGTCGGTACTGCTCTAAATAATCCAGTTCAGGAAGTACATAATTAGCGTAAAGCATTTCTTTGTGATCGTACGATGTTTGTGTGCTCGTATAATGAAGTGAAGTGATTTGACTTTGAGTAACAGCATACAGCAAAATATTGAACATTCACATCACAAACACTATAGGAGCTTGATAATAATATTGTTTGTTTGTTTTATTATTAATAATAATAATATTGGTATTCTAGCAAAACCACCAGACCTTTGGTATGAAGCTACGATCCCTTTTTTGTATTAAGCAATATGAATTTTGATCATTCAAAATTGAGGAAAATCAATAGCCTATTGGAGAGCCATGTCTTTTTATGAAGCAATATAAATTGTGATGGTAGCTTCACATATATATATATATATAATCAGACTCATGCTGTGATTAACAGAGGACACCCACTTGAACATTCAGTGAAACTCTTTTGAAAATATATTATAAACACTAAATATTTGTTTATAAATAGACATATGTAGTACAAGAATCATTAGACATTAAAGAGTCTATTTGATCAATCTTTGCCAGCAATCTTCAAACCACTAGATTTTACTCATTTGTTAGCAAGATGATTTGAATAATAAAATGAAGTGTGTTTACTTGTATATTTTGTAATAATGTGTTGTTTAATTTGCACCTAAATATCTGTTATGCAGAATGACAGTGGGATATTATTGCACCCATTTTTGGATCCATTTCATTTTCCCAAATGTTATTTGAAACATTAACGCAGACACTTGCATTTAATATGCTATTTATTTATATGAAATCATCTTTGTGTTCTGTTTTGTCCCATGTGGGAGATGATGTCGTCTAACAATTGACAGCGTTTCCACAAGCTGAACTGTAAAACGTGTTTCCTGAAGTCGGTGCTTATCGCAACAGACACAGAAAGGACTTGTAGGTTTCTGATATCTGAGCTAAAAGCTTATGTAGTAGGCCATTGAACACGCTGTACTTTGATGTAAATATCTGATCCAAGGCATGTGGTTGAATAATTGTGTTGCCAGTGATTGAGATGGGCTTTTGTGCTGTCGTTTGTCCTGCAGGCTCTTGGAGGAATGTTACGGCACGAAGGATCCCTTCAGCCCAGAGAGAGAAAAGTTTCTGGTTTTAGGATCCAAGTGCTGTCTAAGAAACAAAAAACATGACTCTCCAATAGGCTGTTAGTTTTCCTCCTTTTTGAATGATTCATTGAAAGAATGTATAGAAATGATCCTCCATCTCTTCCATTATGTTCCAAATTCTGAAGATCTAGATCAAACAATATCTGTATGCTTGCACGTAGTGAAGAACAACGATGGCAGCATCGGGATCATTATGATTACATTTATTGAAAGCAATGTCAGCATATCAATAAGCTTGTGTTTGTTTGTTTGTTTGTTTTCTGACAGGACTGCAGTCTGTTCTACACCGAGCGCTTCTGTTTGCCCTGTGTGCGGGACCACCTTTGGCAGTTTCCAGAACGGGGTCAGAATGAGGTGCTGAGGAAAAAGAGTGTCCAAAAGACGTCCTCTTCATGATGCTAGGATGACTTAGTCAGGACACTAGTGAGCCATCTGGCCAGACACACAATATTAACTGTTTGTTGATGTCTTGCGCAACTGGAGGCAGCAAACCATGTTTTGATTAAAAGCATTTCTGTGCTGTCCTATACTGTTTTGAGTTTTACAAACAAGTGTTAGGATGGTGATAAATGCCTTGTCGCATGTAGCAACTATAAAATAAATGATGTTTATGTCATCGGTTGTTATTACTTGATGACTGATATATTCATGTCTGATGATGTAGGTGAGTCTCGAACCGGTTGTTGGAGTGCAAACACTAGTGCTACATCACACCTGCGGGCCTGCCTCCTTCCAGATCCTTCCGGCCATAGGTTGAGGCTGAGCTTGACTCAGTTGCAAAAACCACAGGTACGTAGTGAAGTATAAGTCCCAGCACACAGACACACACAGTTGGAGATCTGTGGCTCACACTGCTGAGCGCTGGCAAACAATGCCAGAGGTCCCTGGTTCAAATCCAGCCAGATCACCTCAATTACAGAGCAGAGGTGGAGCTGGAGGACCAGAGAGGAGTGGCGCTGGAGGACCAGAGAGGAGTGGCGCAGGAGGAGCAGACCAGAGAGAAGGTGAAACCAAAGTGGAATGGCTGGGCAGGCCAGTGATGGAGCCTTGGCATTGCTGGAGAGTGGAACAGCTGACCAGATGGAGGAGCTTGATGGCTGACCAAATAGAGTGGAATGGCAAACAAAGTGGTGAGACAACAGTGAAGAGGAGAGTGTTGACAGCACCCAAAGGAAGAAGAGGGGGGGACCAAGACAGCAAGACAGCTAATTTATTTTTGTGTAATTTCACTACTTCTAAACATTGTGTGACTTCTTCCACATTACTGTCATCCACTAGATGGCACTCAACCCACAACTTACTTTATAAATTCAACTTCACAGGTGCCATGGTGATGGACCATACAGTACCTCCCTCCCCCCCCTCCCCTCTCTTCTCTTATCAGCCTAAGAAAATGTGGCCAATAAATTATTTCCTTCAGATGCACACTGTTCATTTGATTGATCTCATATAGAATGCATTTGGTTAAGTTAAAAGAGCACTTCAGTCATCATCTTTAGCTCAAAACACCAGTGCACAACTATGATTAGGGGTGGGTATATGTATAACATTGTAATGAGAACATTATGATTCCTTGACTTGACTTAAATAAGCTGCCAGCAAAACACTTCAGTTTACCATGTCCCTGCAGCTGCTATTTAAAACAATGGTATTAATTTGTTACTTTTTCAAAATCATTGATTGATTTATTAACAACCATATATATATATTTTTTTTATTTTCATCAACAATGTAATTAAAATCAGTTAGTTATTGTCCATGCAAAGACTATTCCGTTTTATTGATCTGTGGCTCATTTTGATTCTTTACACATGTAAAGGTGACTTGTTTGCATTATTTGTAAATATTTTTTATTTTTTTTTATGACTACATCTGGGAACGTAAAAATCTTTTTACACCGTTCAAACTAGGCTGTTTGGGATGTGGCTTTTAATGATGACACCTTTTTTGTAATCAGGCTCTCAAAAAGTGTGTGTGTGTATATAACAATTTGGATATAGATTTATCAGCTTTCAAAAATAAATAATCGGTATCGGCCAAACTTTTCATATCGGTGCATTAACATTTCACTTAGCGCATATGTACACTTAATTTTGCTTGATTTCATTATATCTGTGTACTGCAAGCTTCTGACCCTACAAACAAGGCGTTTGTAGGGTCAGAAGCTTGCAGTACACAGATATAAAGTATGTAAACATCATACTTATCAACACACTTCTGCAATATTTTCCCTCAAAAACAATGTCGCATTCACTCATTTTAATGACCGTGCGTTTCGTTTCATTTCTTTAGATCGTCTCGAGAGCCCCGGGGTCGCTGGCTTTGGCTTAAAGTAAGCGCACCTGGCAACACGCGACTCTCTTCTACTTGTATCGTTTTTCACTGACGGGCGGGCTCCGCCAGCCAATGAGAAGCGTCTTCTGTTTAAATAGCCTTCGCTGTCAATCTTCTCCCCCCTGCCAGTTTACTTGCGATCGCCATATTGGGTGCTCGCCTACTCGAATGACTCGTCTGTTTTTCTGCGGAATTACTACGAGTCGCGCGCTGTTTTCATGACTTGTTTTCCTCGCGCGTTTGTTATGCGTTCGCTCGGCTTTCTCGGGAAGTAGGATCGCTCTTAGTAAGACCGCGTCTGGCTCGATTGCGATTCTCGGGACGAACTTTAACGTCCAACATGTCAAAAGTGCGCGTCTCCAATGGAAGCCCGACGCTGGAGAGAGTGGACGCGAGGCAGGCGGATCACGCCAAACCGCCGGTCTGCAGAAACCTCTTCGGCTCCGTGGATCGCGCAGAGTTCGCGAGGGACGTCAAGGAGCAAATGCTGGCCATGGAGAAAGCGTCCAAGGACAAATGGAATTACGACTTCGCCAAAAACGAGCCCCTCGCGCCTGGCGACTACGACTGGCAGGAGGTGGACGCGAAAGAGGTGCCGGAGTTTTACACCAGACCGCCTCACGCAAAACGGGATACCTCGACCGGGACTGTGGATCACAACGGGAACCACGACTACTTGTTGACGACGAGCGTACAGGGGGACTCGGACAACGCGGAGCACGGGAGTCGCTCGGATTGCCGAACGGCGCTGACCACGCCGAGAAAAAGACCGTCGACAGAGGATCAGGGTAAATGTTTTGGGAGTCTCGGTGCTCTTGGGTTATTTGCGCGCAGATCTCGGGGGACAAACACTTTGCCCTCCCGATCGTGCGTAATGCTGACACTGCTTGCTTTCGCGGTCTAGCTCGCAAATGAAGTCGCTTTTCTAACACCACCACCATCTTCATTCTTTCGATAGATCTTCCTTGCCAAAGCAAAAGAGCCAACGTCCAAGCGACCGAGGCGAACTGCTGCCCAGAGACGAGGTCGCACGCGCCCAGCAAGTCGGATCCCAAAACGTAAACGAGGTGAGTTTCGTGCGCGCTGTCTGGAAAAAAAAAGAAAAGCAAGTAAAAACCGGCAACAATTTATATTAAGACGTTACACTGCACGAGTGTAAAACATTGAAGTGAACCAGTGTGTACTGCTTTCTAAAAAAGATTAAAACAAAAAAACACTGAGGAAATTATACTAACTTATTTATGTCAAGCTTTTTGTTGTTTATGCAAAGTGACATTTGTGCATTTTCTGTATGTACTTCTTTTTATAGGTGTTTTTTTTTCCCTCCACAGATTTGTGCAAGGTTGCAAACTGAGCCTATTAAAAATTTGATGTGGATTGTGTACCGCTTTATAAATGAGATGATTAAACCATAATGACATGAACACCTTCACCGGACTCCTTTTCATTATATTGTGCAGGAAAACAATCCGCTTGAAAACACACTCTCAAGGGGAATCTTCCATACACTTCTCACACCCTGCAATAGCAAAAGCCTCAAACTGACCTAAAGCTGTGCTAAAAACCTCAATACCTTTAAAACAAATCATAACAGAAGTGATAAATAAATACACCACTCTGGTGCTAAACTGGTACGTGGCAGAATGAAACCTATGGAATTTAGTGTTTTTGTTTGCTTGTTTTTTTTTACAACCCACACATGCACCTGTCCACAAATGCACAATTATTCCATTTCAACTGTACCCACTTTTTTTTTCAATTTAGTGATATTGAACAAGGCACGACGACATGCTTACAAAAATTACTTTGCTTATGTACTGTAATACATATTATATGATTAACCTGCTATTAAACTGTTGCCACATTCCAGATCCCTTTTTAGATTGTATTCAAATAATGTGTTACATGTCATATTTCATATGAAATGTAAATAGCAAAGAAGTTCTGTGTTGAATTTTCATCTGACACGTTTAAAAAATACAACAAAACATACAAAAACCCTTGGCACTGCAAAATACTACAACTGACCCCAGGATGTTTTGTTTGAATATATTCATAAACACAATGGGTTCAACTATACTACTCGAAACACGCTGTGTCAAATCGAAACGCCGTTTGACTTTAAAGTGTTCGGTCGCGCGTGTTGACTTGCAAAAGACACGCACCCTCAAATATTTCTCGCGATTGGAGATAACGGACGTGGTCACGTTGAACTTATTCTGCTCGTACATTATCCTTATAATATACAGGGTCTTTTCGGCGAATTTTTACAGCGTTTTTGCTGCTTGCGCACCGTTTGGTTAACTCAACGTGCAACAAGTTTGTGCGTAAAGCTGCTGCGTTTCTAACACGACCTGCGGAGCTCCCTGCTTCAATTCAGACAAAAAACAAGGACACGTCCCGAGCGGGGAGCGGGGACGGGACCAAGATACTGACATACGGTTTGTCCAATCAGACAACTATTAAGAAAAACACACCACTTACTGTAGCCACTGAGATTGGCTTTGCGCGCGCTGAGGCTGGAGTAAGAGTGTGTTTGTACAGAGTGTTCTGCTCGTAAAGCACAACCCAGAATAAGAGCCATTGGTCAGACTGATATTTCTGCTGATGTTTGCGAAAGGGAAGGGAGAGGTGAGTTTGGCCCGAGGGGTGAATCGCAAGGATCTTTCTAAAGCCCCGTCCTCCTACTGCTCAAAAATCACGGCTGCAACACACATGTATGAATTACATAATTCACACGCAATTTACACGCATTTATTTCCCAACAATAACTCCGTGTTTACTTTATCGCATGTTTAACACGCCGGTGACATGCGTGAAAACGTTACTGGGTCATATATATATATATATATATATATATATATATATATAGGCTACTGAAGGGGAGGCTAGATGTAGCTGGGCATGCCGTCACACCGTATATGTTATCTCAACGACACAATTATACATTTCAACCGTGGAAGACTTACATAAACTCCAACTTATATAAAACCGTTAGATAAAGTTACATAAAAACAATTCATGACAGCAGAAATGTAAGGGGCAGCAGAGAAAATAATTCTAACCATTGCAAATTAGGCCTATAATCCTATTAAATAATGTCAATAATAATCCAAAAAATGTGTAGCATGTTACAATAAAAAGACAAATACACAAATTATCATTACATCCTTGTCCTGACAAATGTTTCTTGGAGACTACAGTCATTTTATTGTGTTCACTTGTGTATCCGACAGCTTTAGCCATTTCTGCCATCTTCCGTTTTGAATTAGGTGCATGTTCCATTGAACTTTGGACTACAAAATAATAGTTACTATGGATAAAAGATCAACATTGTGACAACTACATCCCTTATACACTGTACACTGCCAATCACACTTTTTACACACTTCACTTAATTTGGTACACAAGATCCGAGAAACCTTCTCTAGAAAAACGTACATTCCTAAAATCTATATTTATTTCTTGTTCATTTTTATTTATTAATTTATTTCTATTATGTTTGGATCAGACAGTAAAGGAACTCCTTCAATAAAGCATCTCAGGATGTCAATGAATGAAGAGAGCGTGTCCAGCATTTTTGGTCACTACATTTTCCCCTGATTTCTAAGATACTTCCCTGACTTGTCTATTATTTTACAGTTGTCATGATTTATTATAATAAAAAGTGACAATAATAATCAAAACAATAATGAAGTCTCAAAATATACAATAATAACCCTTAAGATAATAAAATGCTTTGTACGGTGGAAATCACTGATACCCGCACAGCATCGTAAACTAAACAAAACAAATCATATTATGAAAGTGATTTTTTTTTTCAACCCAAACATCTTTCCACTACAAATCAAACAGGCTTGTGGTCAAATCAGTGAGAAAACCACAGTTACTGACACAACACACCCCTTCATCAGATGAATCAATATGCTCAAAACCTCTTTCTGAGGAGATCTAAGTGGTCAATAAGTGATTAAGCAACGCGCAGCTTCTTGACCTGGCAGCCTGCCATGACTTGAGCTTTGGTAAACACTAATAGCAGGCTGATGAAATCAGTAATTATAATATAAAAACAGCAGAGGGCTTCACATTTGTGCAGCTGTAAACCACAAGTGGCAACGCCCTTGCTTGACCTATGCAGTAACTAGAGATACAAGTTTGGTTTTTAATATAAAATTAGATTTGAAAAACCAACAAATGTATTTCATCTACTTGCATTTCCACAAGAAAAGGCGATTTTTCCATACCTCATTCACATTTTAGATGTCGGCCATGGCAACACTTGTGTAATACAGCTTGACTGGAAGAAAAATTTGTATATATTACTAGAAGGCATTAGCAACATATAACTTCATTTATTATTATTATTATTATTATATACAGGGGCCCCAAAAAGTATTTGGACAATCAATGATGAAGCAATGTACACACAGTCACATAAAAAAAAAAATTATTTAAAAAGTCAAAAGTAAATGGCATTACATACCAAAACAAAAAAAAGAATTCTACAAATTATGCTAGAGCCTCAGAACTAACTTCACTTTTCAGATTTTTCTTTACACCCAATGACATTTTCTATATGCAAGCTTGACTGCATAAATTACATATCTCAAACATAGAAATAATACATATTTTATACACACACACACTTTTCTGAGCTACCTTTTTAATTATTTTGAATACATTGGTCTCAAGATAATTTTTCATGGATGTATGAAGTCAGTTTCCACAGCTGGCCTCGTGGTGTAGTTCATCATGTTAACATATGAACACGTTTCACAACATTTGACAACCAGAAAGTCTCCAAGATTTTTTGTCTTCATTTTCAACAATCTAGCAATTGCTTCATATTTTAGAACCTAATAAACTTCCTTTTGTGACAGAAAAGTGTGCTTGTGCTATATTTGACATATATTTTTTAATTATTTCTCAACTGTCCAAATACAGTTTGGCTGTCATTTATATTTATTACTACAATGATTCAACCACTTTTAAGGTACAGAACAACTGTAGGCAGGCGTACAGCTGGCAGAGATGGTCAGCTACACTCAACTTCTGAGCTTGACTTGTGCATCTCCCTGCACCTCATAAAGGGGAGGATGATATCACGGCACAAAACAAACAAATGCCAGAGATGACCTCACGTACCGAAGGCCGCTGACGATTGAGTGGTGGTTCGCTTTTGTCTTCGCCACCCTCTATTTACACTTGCTGCGTTACAGAGTCCCGCTCTCTGAGATCAGCTCTTAGATATGTGCGGAGCCGCAATCTCAACGCCTGCAACAATAAGGTGCGGAGCGGCCAAACTTCCCTCCAGCCCTGTCAAACTAACACCACATTTCCAGGACAAAATTAGCTGAAGGCTATTTTAACAACCTTGCAGATAATGAGGAGAAGCATCGTAAAATCCGAAAATGTTTACAGCTGACCCTATTAATAGATATTTTACACAGCTCCGCACATGACCTCATATTTGGCCTTCCCGTTGGGAATGAAACCTTTGTGAATCTCAATCTTATTTTGGAAATGCGACGTACCATCTGTTTTGCATTGTTATTAATTTAAGTGAATTTTATGAGCCTCCGTGTGCTTTTTTTCGTTTCTCGGCCTCTCTTCGCCCAGCAGTCGTGTGTTTTGGCTGTCCTCCGCTCAACTAGAAACCTGTGTCGGCCAGGCAGAGAAACAACCTCTGGCGGATATTCGGTCTTAGTTGGCCCAAAATGTGTCCAAAAGAAGGATGTCAACAGTCACCTTTGCCAGCAGGGGTTTTTTGTGTGTGTGTGTGTGTGTTCTGGCTCTCGAAGCTCAACGTCGTGCTGTGAACTTAACATGCAGGTGTGTTTTTGGTTTGCTCTCAGTGTTGTACTCGTGGGGTCAACCAAATGTTCCCCTCCCTTCACTCTTTTTATCTGTACTGATCAACTGCCTTTCATTTCTTTTATCTAACCCTATCTTTTTACAGGAAAAAATGGATCTAACAGATTAAAAATAATAAGTGCCGACTCCCAAAGTGAACGCATCACGATAGTGCTTTGCTTGTATACTGTAGTATGTGTGTGTGTTTA